CCTTTCTACTTGAAATGTGGCTTCTGTTTTGTTTCACTGAACACTGACTGGTATCTTACATACCTTGCTTACTCCTTCAGCAAGTACAGAGCCTAGATTCAATGCATGCCTGTCGAACATCAAAGCCCACCCTCTCTTTGGTGGAGAGTCGGGGAAGGGAGTTTGTCCTGCACTTCATAGGCGCAGCCTATGCCAGGCAGCGCAGATAGCCAAGCGGTGTTGCGGGGAGGACCAAGCTGGCTCAGCTAACAGGCTGCCTGGCATAGGTTGCTGGTTCTTTCACTCGTCCATTGCCCTGTTCAGTGGGCCACTTCCCTACTCACTAAGCCAGGGCAACTTTCACTTGTTTTCTCAAGGGAACATATGCAAAGCACAAAGGAGTCAATTATTGGCTTTCAGTCACCAAAGCCTAAGCTTCAAGATCCCAGACACTACATTTCCCCGGTTGGGAGAGGCAGACAGTCACAGAGGAAGTGAACGAGCTCAAACGTGTTAAGTACCTGCCAAGGCCCTGAGTAGCTCTGTTCCTCTCAGCCCCCATCCCCAGGCTGCGTCCTGGGAGGGGTGCAATGAAAGATTACAGAGACTCCACGTCATTTGGGAATCCTGGGGCACAGGAAGTCTTGTGTCTTTTCTTGGGGAGCATCTGTCTGGAGAGGCCCTCGGGGTTCCCTGCACCCAGCATGGCATAGGAGCAGGTAAGATGGCTGTGTGGGCTCTCTGGACAGCTGGGCATCCCAGCATGCCACTGGGGCAGCCTCAAGAATGCGTCCACCTGAGCTGCAGAAAAGCAGGAGGGCACGAGAGGAGGGAGGGGTGTGGCCAGGACCCCGGGACAGAGCCTCCGAGACCCTTCCCACCGGTGACTGAAGGACAAGCCCGCAAGGAAGCCACACTGTGTTAACAGCCCTGAGAACCAGAGCTTCCCCTCACGGACCAGTGCCCAATCCCTCCACGAGGCTACAAAATCCAGGAGCTTAGGCAAAACCTCAGAAAAATGACTTTTTGTGGGGATGGAGATGGTGAGTACCATACTCCTCAATTAAAGGAAATAAAGCTGTCACCAGGGCTTGAATTAAATCCAAAACCCAATTATGCAAAATGTGTGGTTACATTTGTTGCACCCAGGTCCTGAGGGTAGTGCAGCTTCCAGTTCATCTGACACTGGCCCTTGAGAGTGTCTGGTCTAAAAGAGGGGTCACCAAACTACAGCGAGGTCCATGGGCCAAATTCAGCTCCTTGCCTGTGCCTTTTTTTTTAAATTTCCTGCCTATTTTGGGGGAGCTAAGTAAAGCCAAAGCCATGCCTCTTCTTTGTGTGGCTGTGTTTGCCAAGTTGCACAATTGCAACAGAGACCGCTATGGTGCAGAGCCTAAAACACTTACTCCCTGTCTCTTTACAGAAACAAATCGCCAACCCTGGCGCAGAGCATGTGTCCCGCATGACTCCATGTCATGTCCTCCCTGGCGCTCGGGTCCTTCTGCTGCCACCAGGGGGGCAAAGTCTCAAATCGAAATCAATGAGAAAGCTCTGCTCTTGAAAATGTATCTACTTTCAGTTCCAACTTTTCCTTCCCGCACTACCCTGACCACTGGTTCTCTTTTGACCACTCTTCGGTCCCCTGCCTTGTCCCCTGTGACCCTGCACTTCCCCGGAGCCTGCTGCCCCTGACTTCTATCCTCTGAACCCTTTGTGGGCTTCTCCTCCTTGCCTGCCTTTAACGTCAGTGCTTTTTGTGTGTTGGTTGGGTTTGGTGTTTTTTCTCAATCCTGAAGTCGGTGTTTCTTAGGATTGTCCTTGGCACACGGGTCTCACTCTAGTCACCCTGCCACAGCACCGAATAATTCTCAGGGGGACCAGGTTTCACCATAGCCTTCACCTGCAAGGAGGGGAGCTGGCCCGGGTTACTGCCTTGAGGGGTTTATGCCCTTGGCGTGGGCAATACCAACGCCTTAGCACCTAGCTGAGCTCTTGAGTTGCTTCCTTTGGCCGCTGAATCAGTCAATATTGGCCTTGAACAAACAGCTCAAACAGTAGAATGATCACTTAGTGGACAAGCAATAAAAGGCATTGTAACCTAGAGGTTAATGATAGAAGCTCTGGAGTTAATTTTATAAGCTATAGATTTGAAGCTCTACCTCTCATTAGCTGAGAAGCCTTGAAGAAGTTGATAAATTTCTTGTGCCTCACTTTCTTCATCTATACAATGGGGATAAGGTATGAGGATTTACAAGCTGACAACTGAAGTATAGTAAATATATCACATAAGCTATTAGCACTGGCCTCCAAATCTCAGCTTCTTTTTGAAATGAAGTGCTTATTCCTCACCTTTAAAATAGGCTCTGTAATACCTACTTCCCATAGTTTCTGCAAGGATCTGAGAAAATGTTTATAGCATTGGCTTGTCATTGGCACTGAGATTTGTAGGTTCAAATTTACAAAGGGGGTTTTCTTCTGAATCGGATTTTCAGAATAAACTATGTGTGTTCTCTTCTCTTTCTCTCCAAGCAGGAAACATGACTTGGTTAGATTTTGTGTGTTTCCAGTCAACATTTCCATCTATTGAATTTTCCTGCTGATGACTGGACAGCAGCGTCTCCCCCTCCCCCACCTTTGATAATTTCACAATCACAATACACAACCGAGCTGCCTGGCCAGATAAGTCAACTCAGGTGCCTTTTAGGTATGATTTACATCAGTTGTCGTCAAACTTTACTGCGGAGGGTTTGTTAAACTACAGATTCTTGGACCCCACTCCCAGAAATTCTGATTCAATAGGTGTAGGGAAGGGCCCTCAAATTTGCATTTCCCACAACTTTCCAAGTGATGCTGAACTGATACTTTTGGACCGGCGACCACACTTTGAGTAGCACTGGTCTACACAGTCAAGGTGGGAAGGTTTTTGGTAATAAGTCAACATCAAATAGAGTAAGTGTTGCCAAAAAAATGATAATGGTCTAAGACCATGTCCTTTGCACATATAGAATCTGTTTTTTTATATTTTTACTTTATGGATGTCTTTAAAAATTAGTAACAGCATTCTCTGGATCATCTCTAAGATTTTACCCTCCACAGTAACAGACACAGCCACTTTTTAAAATTGATTTTTAGAGAGAGGAAGGGAAAGAGAGCAAGGAACACTGACTGGCTGTTGCACTTCTTTATGCATTCATTGGTTGATTCTTATAGGTGCCCTGACTGGGATTGAACCTACAAACTTGGCATTATCAGGATAATCCACTGAGCCACCTGGCCAGGGTCCACTCACTTTTTGACTAGAGCTACGACAAAACTCTTTTTCTTTTATGTAGGTTGGCAATTGACTTCTCAAACCTACGTGTAGAATTTTCTTTTTATTTTAATCCAACTTTCAGGCTGGTCATTTTGAAATTTTCATTTTTTCTAACCCATTAGCTATTCCTCCTTGCTTTCTTTCAACTCTCCCTCTTTTTCATTTCAGCTTATTTTGTTTCTTTTTTCCAGCTTTATTGAGATATAATTGCCATACACCATTGTGTACATTGAGAGTTACAACATGTTGATTTGTTACACTTACATGTTGCAAAATGATGACCACCACGGCCTTCACTAACACCTCCATCGGGCAGCCACATCCCCACCGTTTCTTTTCTTTTCTTTTTTTGTGAGAGCATTTAAGATCTATCCTCTTAGCAACTTTCACTGCTTTTTTTCTAACTGTCACAAAAGCAGCTTTCCATCTCCAAAACTCTGCTTGCTCAAAAAAAAAAAAAAATGCCACCAAATATGGGAATGGGAAGGTAATATTACTTTTATCATTTGGGGGTATGCAAAAAATCAAGTAGATAAAAGAGTTTGAATATATTTTTACAAAGTAGAGTTATATATACTAAGCACCAGCGATGAACGTGGATTTTCACATGTCATTCAAACAACATTCATCCCTCACTTACTATGCAGCAGGCATTGTGTTGGGCACAAAGGGGAGTGGTAGAGCTGAAGACATCACTGACACCTTCAAAGAATTTATAAGTTCTCTTTTTACCTACACGCACTTGGCTCTCCACAAAGAGATGAAGGATATTTTGAAGGCCATAAATGAGATATTTTAAATTTTCTTTAGAGATGTTTTAATTTTTAGATGTGGGACATAAACACCACTTTATGTTTTAAAAATGTAATGACATCGTATCAAGTTTTTAAGAGGTGACTAATGTTGTTTTTTTTACACAATCTGATCATTTGAACTTTCAAAGGTTTGAAATGTCCTTGAGCCATTCTTATGTGACTGTTTATTTGCACGGCAATCATGGCCATCTGGGAACCTGAATTTGGCAAACCATTCACAGATCTGCTCAAGGGCAGTTCTTATTCAGCTTTCAATGTCATAGACGCTAGCAGAGTACCTAACACAAGGTAGGCATTCCATAAATATTTGTTGAATGAAGAAATACAAAGATAAACAAGTTAACCTACTAGTCCACTCTGTTCTTTCCTCTGAAATTTTATGAACTTATTACCTTGTCCTTCTTGGGATAGTAATCACATAGGATTTTAAATTGAGTTGTTTTTATATTTCATGTGTTATATTTTTCATTCATGTGTTATATTATTCATTCTAAATGGATAGAAATTTCCCTGATCTCCCCACCCCCAAAGCATCTCACACGGGTCTGCTAAGTGAAATACCTGTTGAAATAATCTATTAATACTTCCTTCTTTCTTAATTTTAAAAGACTTAAGTTCAAGTGTCTCTTTAAAAAAAACAAAATCCACAATCATAAATTTCTTAGCTAAGTATAAGGTTGTCAATAGGAAAAAAGTTACTTATATCTAAGCAAAATATTCTAACAGGCTCCTCCTGGAGATCTAAGACATTGAAACAAAGGTGAGGAGAAAGGAAGAGGGAGGGGAAAGTGGGAAATTGTCTGGGGAAAGGGGAGGATCCAGTCGGAGGGATTTCGACAACCAATATAGTAAAACCTTCACAAGGAGAACACTGCCAACCAAAAGATGCTTACCTTTGCACCCCTCACAGGTCAGGGCATTGTAATGGTATCCAGATGCTCTGTCTCCACAAACGACACATAGCTCATCTCCTTTTATTCTCCCCGCTGATGCGCCCATTCGGGCCTTCTTTGTCACAGGAATCTCTACTATCTCAGTCTCTCCCTGGTAGAGAGCCTCAGCTGGCATTGGCTTGAGTTCATATATTCCAGGAGAGTACCATTCTTCAGGCTGCTGGGGGTAGAAACCCAGGTTGGAATAATAGGATGATGAGGAAATCTGTGGTTGAACTTGGGGAAACTGAATATTGTTGTATTGTGAGTATGATTCCACTTCTAGATTCTGTCCCAGGGGGCCCGCTGTTGGTTCTGTGAGTACACCTGGACAAAGTGACAATAACACTGGAATGAACATTATCATTCTATACATCAGAGAGGCAGTTTAGCATGCATTATGTTTAAGAGTGTGGGCTCTGGGAAGAGACTGAGATGTTTAACTATACAAAAATTAACAACTTTTTTACATCAAAAAGTCTGCACAAAGAATTAAATGACTAAATTATAAGCTCAGAAAAATATCTACAACATAAAGGACGGACCAAATAGTTACAGCATTAATATGTCAAGAGTTCTTGCAAACCAGTAAGAAAACATTCAACATGGAAAACTGAAAACAAATAGGAACATTTTAAAAACAAAAACAAAAAGACTGTTAAAGAAGCACTCAACATGGAGAATATTTAACATTCCATGGAAAAATGATGAAAGACATGAATGGTCAGTTTTTAGAAATAAAAACACGAGTGCATTAAAAAGATATAAAAATGTGTATATCTTTGCCGATAATTAAATTTAAATTGAAACGACAATAGAAAATATCATAATCTTCACCCTTAAACATGTAAAGGTTAAAAAAGTTCAACAACACATGCTCGGGAAAGCCAAGTTCTTGAAGGGCAATTTGTCACCAGCTTTCCGCATTTAAAATTTAAACACTCTTTGAACCCAATGATCCTCAGCTAGAAAACTGCTTTCAGAGGTATACTTGCATCTGAACGAAAAAAATGTTTGCGTAAAGTGTTCATTCGCAGCAACATTTGTAAGAACCATTGAAACTGAAAGTGATTTAAATAGCCATCAATAGGAGTCTGGTTAAATAAATTATGTTATGTCCATACAATGAAATACTATGCAAATGTGAAACAACACGTGTGCTGATTCGGAAAGGTTTCTATAATACGGTGCTTGTTGAAAAAATTAAGCTATAGAATAATGTGCACATTTTCATGAATGGTAAAAAACACTGTGTGCATATGAGGGAGTTCTTCGTCCAGGGCAGAGGGAACTGGGTGCTGGCGGCAGTGGCACGTGAGATTTCTGCACTGTTCTCTGGGGCGGGAGAATGCACACACACACACACACACACACACACACACACACAAAAGAATGTCGTGCCTGAAATTTGTCCACCTGGGTTCAAATCCCAGCTTTATTTTATTACCCACTATCCATGCACGTGGACTGTTTACTTAACATCTTTAAGTCCCTGTTTTCTCTTCACACAAGATTTAATACCTGCCTCATTAGGCTGATGTAAGGATTCAATGAGGTAATGCATTCAAAATGCAAGTACTTGGCTAAATGTGTAGGCACATAAAGTGCTAGATGAATTATATAGCTGCCACCAAAATTGTAATAATCATTATTCCCCCTGCCATTATGAAATGAGACCCTTATCTAGAAAACCTCTAGGTCACAGAAAACCATCAGGTTGTGAAAATGCTTCTATTTCCTAGAAACATAAACTGTGGCTCTTTAGAAAATAACACTGTTTAAATTATACAAAACACTAGAAAATTTCACAGACATAAATAAGATATAGGAGAGTGTCCAAACATGTCTGATTCTTCAAAGCATGATCAGGCAACCCTAAACCAAATTTCCATCTCCACCTCTAAGAACCATGAGACTGAGCAAATTACCTGGAGTACTGATAACCCCAGTTTTTACAGCGGTGGGCTTGGGATGAAAATACATAGATCAAGGGTGGCTGAAGAGTGAAATAATACAAATCCACAGTTCCTCATCTGAAACTTTGGAGTCGCCTGTGTTTCTAAATCTGGAGTTGTTTGATTTTAGAATAGAATACAGTATTATTTCTCCCGGCACCAAACAGCAATCCTTTCCACGATGCAATGCATGAATGCTCACAGTCAGAGAAATAAACGAAGTCCGTGAATGCCCTCACATTCATTTAGGTCAGGTTTTGCCACTGAAGAAGTTTGCGCCACACTTTGAAAAAAACACTTAGTTTTTGGAGTTTTGGGGATTTGGAATTGTCGATTAGGGATTGTGAATCTATGCGTCTATACACGTGGAATGAATGCTCTTCACAATGCTCGCAAGATGGTTGTTACTATTGTTCTTATTACTACTATTACTTTTGGAAAACTTTATTATGGAGTTCTTCCTAGTGCCAGGCACTTGTATATTTTCACATGCCTCTCACAAAATCCTATGTGGTAATTAACATTACCCCACTTACAAACAGGTAGCCTGTGGCATAGAGAACTTTGGCAACTGTACTCAGGTAGGTACCTAAGTAGCTGAGCTTTGAACTCTGGGAGTCCGACTTCAAAGCCCGTGTGCGGAACTGTCCCTCTCCAGGATAACTTCAGATGTGCAACACTTTAGAGCTTGACAGTAAAGCCTTTCTCTTCCTCTCTCTGAGTTCTTTAGTCTCTTCACTGCTCTCCTTGCAGATAACCTCTCACTAGATCTGTAGGGCTCAGTGTGATCCTACCCTTTCTTTTCCAGCCATTCCACAAACGTTCCTTGCCGATTCCAGACTCAGGAACTTTCCCGTGTGCTGCTTTCTGAGCCTGGGGCTACCTGCAATAATACATCCATCCCCTCTGAGGGCTTCGTCTCACTAATAATATTCACTTACTTCTCACTTTTCCTTTAAGTATAGTTTCTCTCGGAAGTTTCCCTGAGTCTGAGTCCCTGCGAGTTCTGGCTCTGAACCTAGTTACATGGCACCTAGCTTCCCTGCCTGGGCCAACCTTTGCTCATCTGTACAGACTCCGTGCTGGATAATCTTACTACAATCCTTCTTCATACCTAACATGTCTGTAAGTGTATGACTAACGGTCCATGGACATTAGAATTCAGAGCTTTTGGACAATGGTAAAGTGGAGTACATGCATATTTAATGTTTGTTAAAAAGAATGCTTTCGGCATTGACCCAGAGAGTGACTGGCAGAGCACCAAGCGTACGGTATCTGTGCAGACGTGAACTTCTTCTTTCATGCTCGACTTGTTCGTGTGAAACCGGAACATCGAGTCAGAACATCGAACAGGTAAAAAGATTGGTCCAAAGACCACAAAATGGAAGAACATAAGTGTATGGAATTATGGCAGAAAAAAAAGAAACATATAAAATCCCAATTTATTTAATAATCACATGACTAAAATTTCCGGAGTGAATAGGATCGCAAAGAACTTAGCATTAAAAACAGTTTCACGTGAACTTATAGCCAGATTTTGTCCTCCAAACCATCTTACCCCTAATCTACCCCAAATCTCCACCCCCGAGCCTGGTTTCTCTCCGCCTACCCTTGCAGGAAGGTGAAGCAACTTGCCCAAGGCCAGTTAGTGACAGAATCTGGATTCTGTGGAATCCAAGGAAATGTGTGCGTTTTTCTCCTCTTATGACAATTCCAAGATCTCTGAGCATCATTTCAACAAAACAAAGCTCTTTGTAACCAAGAGGCACCCAGCGCATCAGACCCTGGTATCAACAGCATATCAATCTCTGGAATCATCTCAGTTAAAATGGGAGGCTTTCCCAAAGACATCACTTCCGTTACATGAAACGACAACACATGGTAAGAATAGGAGAGTGGCACACAATGAATAATAATGCCTGTATTCCCAAAGCACACGTATTGAATACTTCAAGTATTTCATTGTCCCCGCTCCACTCTCTACAGAGTGGAGACAATAACTATACAGGCAACTTACAGTAAAGTAACCCCGCCACGGCCAGCGTATTTCAACATGGGACACTAGAACAAATTCCACTGTGAACTGACTGTGAGACCTTGAACCACTGCCAAACATTTCTGTCTTGATTTCTTCCATAAAATGGGGCTGTTAACAACACCCAGCCTTGCTATCTCAGAAGGCAGTTCGGACTGTAAAACAGTCCTTGAGTTTTGACAAGTTGAGTGCTATAAAAAGGCATGTTTGATTCCTGAAGAAACTCGTAAAACTCCGACTCTAATGACAGTTAATTGATAATTAGTAATGGTTAATATCTATCAGTCTGTTTTGATGACATAAATGATAGGGTACCTTTTCACTTATATGTATATATTGAACACTTACCATTTGCTAGATACAGTGCCAGGCTCTGAGGATAAAGCAATGACTAAGAGAGGCAGACAACAGAGAGAAAAGGCCACTCCTCTGTGTGTGTGTGTGTGTGTGTGTGTGTGTGTGTGTGTGTGCTGCAAGGGGGGATATCAAAGACTGGGACAAAACCGAGGAAACAAACACAGAAGTTTCTGATAGAGCATAAGCAGAGGCAGGTCAAGTTTAGAGTATGCGTTCTGAAAAGGTAAATTTATTTCTATTTGAATAAAGAGATATACATATAAGTTTGAATTTGTGAGTGGGTTTTTTTTTGGGGGGGATCAGTTTATCAAGCAGTTGGAAAATCTGGATTCCTTCTTACAGGAAATTCCACATAAATAAGAGTAGAGAGTTGAGGAAAGAGTTTTTAAAGGGGAACACCTGAACAGATTCCCGGGGCGGGGGGGGTCCGAGACCCCCTGCAGAGGACACGAATTCTGGGCAGAGACACTGCAGCATGTAACAGTTTCTCTAGAGGAGTACCTACCGTCTAAGGGAACTTTCTGAGATGATGAAGTGCTCTCTGCCTATCAACACATTAGCCACTGACCATATGGAATAGTGAGCATTTGAGACATGGCTAGCAATAATGGGGAAATGAATTTTTCATTTAATTTTAAATAATTAAAATTTAAAATGAGGTAGCTACATGTGGCTAACGATATCACAACGGTGCAGCTCTGAGGAGTCCGCGGTCAGAACCACTGCGCACCCGCAGGGAAGAACAGGGTTCGTGTAAGAGCGATGGCACTTTCTCAGGACCTCACAGCTCCGCAGCCCGACGGCATGTCCAGGCTTTACCCAGTTTTCCTTTCTGGCACTGTGCCACCCACAGTAAACACGACGTCTGCTAAAGTGTCTCATGAATGGGAAAATTGCCTTCTCTGCCTCATTTACTTCCTAATTCATGGATTCTTGACTAGAGGATACAGCTTCATTTGCGGAGTTGTCTGCTTTTCCTG